TGCCGAAATGGGGTTGGAACCGCCTGCGAACGCAGCCACTGTGGCCATCGGTGGAGCTCCCTGTGGGGTCACGAAACGTGTGAGTGGTGTGCCGAAATGGGAGTGGAACCGCATGCGGGCGCTGCGGGTTTCGGTGGAGCTCCCTACGGGGCCACGAAGCGTGTGAGGGGTGAGCCGAAACTGGGGTGGAACCGCATGCGGGCGCTGCCGTTGGGGCCTTCGGTGGAGCTTCCTATGGGGCCTCGAAGCGTGCGAGGGGTGTGCCGAAATGGGGGTGGAACCGCATGCGGGCGCCAGCGGCCTTCGGTGGAGCTCCCTATGGGGCCACGAAACGTGTGAGGGGTCTGCCGAAATGGGGGTGGAACCGCATGCGGGCGCTGCCGCTGGGGCCTTCGGTGGAGCTCCCTTATGGGGCCACGAAACGTGTGAGGGGAGTAAACGTGTGAGGGGAGTGCCGAAATTGGTGTCGATGATGGTGACGATAACAGCGGTGATGATGGCGACGATGGTGATGATGACGATGAGGAGGGGGGTGGCAGCGGGAGTGAACGCGGGGCGCTGTCTCTTTAAAACGAGGACCCAGCACCGCGGGGCGGCCATGCGGGCGCTGCCATTGGGGCCTTCGAGCATCGCGAGGGGAGTGAACTGAAGGAGGGGGGCCAGCAACAGAGGCCTCTGGGACCATCGGTGGAGCACCCTATGGGGCTACGAAACGTTTGAGGGGTTCGCCGAAATAGGGGTTGGAATCGCAGACGGGCGCTGCCACTGGGGACTTCGGTGGAGGGCCCTATGGGGCCACGATGCGTGTGAGGAGTTTGCCGAAATGGAGGGTGGAACCGCATGCGGGTGCTGCCACTGGGGCCTTCGGTGGAGCTCCCTATGGGGCCACGAAACGTGTGAGCCGTGCACCGCAATGGAGGGTGGAACTGCCTGCGGGCGCTGCCACTGGGGCCTTCGGTGGAGCTCCCTATGGGGCAACGAAGTGCGTGAGGGGTTGTACCGAAATGGGGGGTGGAGCTGCATGCGGGCGCTGCCCCTAGGACCTTCGGCGGAGCTCCCAATGGGGACACGACGCGTGTGAGGGTTCCACCGAAATTCAGGATGGAGCCGCACGCGGGCGCTGCCACTGGGGCCTTCGGTGGTGCTCCCTATGGGGCCACGAAGCGTGCGAGGGGTGCACCGAAATGGGGGTGGAACTGCATGCAGGCGCTGCCTCTGGGGAGTTCGGTGGAGCTCCTCTGTTGGGCCACGAAGCATGTGAAGGTTGTGCCGAAGTTGTGGGTGAACTGCATGCGGGCGCTGCCACTGGGCCTTCTGTGGAGCTCCCTATGGGGCCACGAAGCGTGTGAGCGGTGCACCGCAATGGGAGGTGGAACCTCACGCGGGCGCTGCCACTGGGGCATTCGATGGAGCTCCCTATGGGGCCACGACGTGCGTGAAGGGTTGTGCCGAAATGGAGGGTGGAACTGCATGCGGGCGCTGCCCCAAGGACCTTCGGTGGAGCTCCCTATGAGGACACGGCACGTGTGAGGGTTGCACTGATATGTTGGGTGGAGTCGCACGCGGGCGCTGTCACTGGGGCCTTTGGTGGACCTCCTTAATGGGGCCACGAAACGTGTGAGTGGTGCACCGAAATGGGGGTGGAACTGCATGCGGGCGCTGCCGCTGGGGCCTTCGGTGGAGCTTCCTTTAGGACCACGAAGCGTGTGAGCGGTGCACCGCAATGGGGGGAGGAACTGCACGCGGGCGCTGCCACTGGGGCCTTCGGTGGAGCTCCCTATGGGGCCACGAAGCGCGTGAAGGGTTGTGCCGAAATGGGGGGTGGAACTGCATGCGGGCGCTGCCCCAGGAACCTTCGGTGGAGCTCCCTATGGGGCCACGAAACGTGGGAGGGGTACGTCAAGATGGGGGTGGAACTGCATGCGGGCGCTGCCACTGGGGCCTTCGGTGGAGCTCCCTGTATGGGGCCACGAGGCGTGCGAGGGGTGCACCGAAATGGGGGTGGACCTGCATGCGGGCGCTGCCACTGGGGCCTTCGGTGAAGCTCCCTATGGGGCGACGAAGTATGTGGGACGTGTGCTTAAATGGAGGGTGGAACTGCACGCGGGCGCTGCCACTGGGGCTTTCGGCGGGGCTCCCTATGAGGCCACGGAACGTGTGAGCGGTGCACCGAGAGGGGGGAGGAACTGTGCGCGGGCGCTGCCACTGGGGCCTTCGGTGGAGCTCCCTATGGGGCCACGAAACGTGTGAGGGGTGCGCCCACATGGGGGAGGAACTGCATGCGGGCGCTGCCCCTGGAGCCTTTGGTGGGTCTCCTATAGGGCCACGAAGCGTGTGAGGGGTGCACCGAAATGGGGTTGGAAGCACATGCGGGCGCTGCCCCTAGGGCCTTCGGTGGAGCTCCCTTACGGGGCCACGAAACGTGGGAGGGGTGCACCGAGATGGAGGTGGTCCTGAGTGCGGGCGCTGCCACTGGGGCCTTCGGTGGAGCTCCCTATGGGGCCACGAAGCGTGCGAGGGGTGTGCCGAAGTGGACCTGCGGGTGTGCCGAAACAGACACATGCGAAGAGCAAAGGCAGGGATGGCAGGAGAGAGAGGAGCGGCAGGAGGAAAGGAGGAGAGGAACGCGGGGCGCTGTCTCTTCAAAGCGAGGACCCCAAACCACAGGGTGGTGGGGAAAAACGCAGAGACACACATACTCGTCGATTTGCTGGAACATGTGGAAACTATGGGACGCGGTGGGGGCAACGAACACCCAGAACATCTTGAACAGATGGGACATCCTGTTGTGCTTGTCTATGAGTGGGCCTCTGAGGGCGATGAGGGCGATGGTGGGATTTCCATCAAGGGAGGAAAAACCACCCAGACCGGACAATTGGCGTTTACTAAACGGCCCGGGGCGTTTACTAAACAGCCCTGCCCTGTTTGATTCCTTCTTTGGGCGCGTTTACTAAACGGCTTCGCGTGTCGGGGTGGCTATTCTCTGGGCGGATTTTCTGCCGTCTAGTTCAGGGGGGCGATGAGGCCGCGAGGGGGGCGAGGCGTTGATGCGCGGGGCGGGAGGCGGACTCAGACCGACCTACCCTCGCCCTGTGTCGGAGGTTGATAGACCTCCTACCCTGACACGTCGATTAGTGAATTGGCCGTTTTCGGTTCGCCAGAGGGCGTCGCGGCCGTCATCTTTGCGGGTCCAGGTCCGTCGGTTTCGGTCCTGGGCCGTTTTCACTAAAGGGTGGTTTACTAAAGGGAGGTTTGTCCACTCGGGCGAAGAGAACTATGCACATGCACCGATCCTGGCAAGGCCCATCCTTGACCCAGGATCGGTGCATATGCCTTCCTGGCCAAGGTAGGAGGGCGTATGCACCGATCCTGGGCTCAGGATGGGCCTG